ACTCAAAAGCTCATTCTCATTTCTAAGAAAATGAGTGCACAATATCTTCCCTTTCTTGACTTTTGTGCCTAAATGCACTCTAGGAAAATGCCTAGGTGCATCATTAGAACACTTCAAGAACCCTATGAACACCTCCCAAGTTTCTGACACTCCTATCTGCAGGGTGCCTTTTAAAGATTTAAAAAAAAAAAATGCTTTCAGGATCACTTTCATCCTCACAGCATCCCTGGGAGGCTTTACTCTTTCTGTTTTACAAGTGAAGAAGCCAAGGATTAGAAAGAATTGAGCTATTTCTTCCCAAATTACACAGCCAGGAAATGGTAGGGCTACATGCCCTTTGCTCTTTCAAGTATCATTCATATGGTCCTCACAATATGACGCTCTAGGTCTGGCATGACAAACCAAAGTGTAGCAGGACTCTGATCTCCCCCTGGTGTGGGGGCTCTATAATTATATCAGTATAGCCTAAAACTACATTAGCTTTGGAGCACTTGTATCAGATCATGTTTTTGACTGGGTAGTACCCTTTGCGCCCTTCTCACCCCCATCATAAGAGCCAGAGGGCAGAAGTTCTTAGTGATGTTTCTTTCCCTCCCAAACCTGCCCAGTTCAATCAGCCCTCTGAAATGCATGAACAAGGTCTCAGTATTTAAACTTGCTCCAGATGAGCAAGAGGCAAAAAACCATTTTTCTCCCTTAATAACTGGTTTGGTCTCGTAGTAAGAAGACCAGACTGGGAGGTTGAAGGTCCAGGTTCCAGATTCGCTCTAGCTCTGTGACCTGAAATCACTTGATACTAGCATCAGTGTCTTGATCTGAAAAATAATGACAGTTATTTTACGTCTGCTGCAAGGATCCAGCGAAACACTTGTGGGTTTAATTTTCTGCTATTTGACTTGAAATTCTTTTTTTTTTTTAATTTTTTTTTTTTGAGAGAGAGCACATGTGCAGGAGTGGGGTGGGGGGGCGGGCAGAGGGAAAAGCAGACTCCCTGCTGAGTGCAGAGCCCAACATATGGCTCAGCCCCAGGATTCTCAGATCATGATCTGAACTGAAGGCAGATGCTTAACGGACCGAGCCACCCAGGTGCCCTTGACTTGAAATTCTTAATTTTTGTAGGAGGAGCTATGCATCTTCATTGTGCACTGAGCCCTGCAAATCATGTAGCTGGTCCTGCCCCTATGACCTCTCTGGGCCCCAGTCTATATAATTAATTGAATTGTTAGGAAATAGATAACCCTCAATCCTTTTACTCTACCCATTAGCAAAATTTGGCACAATTGATCACTCCCTCCTCCATGAAACATCTTTTCCCTGTGGCTTCTGGGGCACAATATTTTTCTAGTTTTCCTCTGCTTCACTGGTGGCTGCTCCTTTGGTGTTTCCTCCCTAATCTGTTAGTATGTTCCAAACTAAACTTATCATCTCCTGCAAGCCTGCTCCTCCCAGCCTTCCTCATGTATTAATGGTAACTCCCTACCTTCCAGTTGCTCAGACCCAAGCCCTTGTCCTAGTCCTTGACTATCTCTCATTCCATATCCAACTTGGAAGCTACTCCAGAATCTGACCACTTCTGTACTACTACCATCACAGTTCAAGGCTTAATCACAGCTCTCTTGGATTATTACAAGACCCTTCTAAATGGTCCCCTTGCTTCCATCCCATCCCCTGTTTCTAAGAGTCTATTTTCCACACAGTAGTCAGAATAATCCTTTAAAAATAGAAGTCAGATCATATCAATCTTCAAAACCATCCCGTGGCTATCTATCTCAATCAGAGTAGAAATAACTACAAGTGCAACAAACTTAACTCTTTGAACCTACTTCCAACCAGCATAGGCCATTTGCCAGTGTCCCTTTGTCTGGAATGCCCTCCTAGCTATCAGCCTGGCTGGCCACTCACCTCCTTCAGTTCTGCTCAACTGTCACCCTATCCATCAAGCCTTCCCTGACCATCCTATTTAAATAGCCACCAACATCGACTTTCCCCCTCATTTCCCAGCCTATTGTTCCCTGCTCAGTTTTCTCCCAAACACTCATCACCATCTGATTACATTTTTAAAAATTTGCTTAGAGTTTATCTCTCCCCATTAGACTATAGGCTTCATAAGGGCAGGGATTTTTGTCTTTTAGCTGCCATGTCTCCAGCACATAGGACAGTGCCTGTGAATGACAGTAGGCAGAGTTCTGGAACAGATGATGGGATTACTATTATTAAGTCACAGCCACATCAGGTCCTCTGAGTGTAAAAAGTTTCTTCACAGGCTGCATACCCTCCATTACAGAAGTGTGGGTATTTATGGGAGACTCTTGTGGCAGCCTCCCACTAGAGTATACTGTAGGAATGGAAAGCTGAGTCGAGAGAGGTAACTATGCCCTACAATTTTGTCACTTAGAAGCTTCGTGTATATATGCAAATAACTCTAGAACAAGGCAGCATTTGTTAAAAAATATCCAGCCTTTAATGGCTAACGTCTCACATTCTGGTAATGGCTCCAGTTTTCTACAGAGATGAGGGACAATGAACTGTGGCTTGTGAACTTACTACGTGACTCCTGTCCCAGACAAGTTCCTGCTCTGGCCTGCTTATCACATCAAAGACACCTTGCTCAACTTCCAATCTAGTTTGCTCCAAAGTCCCTCCACTGGACCCCTCCACCCAACATTGGCTGTACTTACTGTTGACTTGAGACCCCACCCTCTCATAGTCCCTCCACATTCTGCTTCTAGATACAGGAAATATGAGGGAGGAGTGGATTCAACTTGGAAGGCTGCAACAGGCTAAAGAATCTATTATTTCCTTAAAATAAAGATGTGTAAATATAATTTGAGTGTATGGTGCTCAGAATTCAGGAAGTAGATCTATCAGTCTTTGCATCCTGACAGTCTTGGTCAACATGTGACACAGTATGTAACATTCCCTAAGGTTTGCCGAATCATTGAACTGAATGTCATAAGCCCCAAGTAAGGATAATTCTAATTAAGAAGTGCTTCTGCATCTTGTGTAAGGTACCCCAGAGATATTTTGTAAGGTTATTTTATTGAGCTATCATAAAAAACAACCCGTAAGAATGAAAGTATCTCAAATAAAGGGACCAATATTTAAAATGCTGGTTTAAACAATAAATCTTACTGCTTTAAAATTTTTGAAGTTACTTTCATATGTATTTGATTTCTTTAAACTCTGTATCTGAAAATCCAAACATTTTTGAGAGACAAATCACGAATTACACTTTCCATTCCCTCCAGGACTCCTTTGAATAGTCTCTGAGGTTATGCGTTTTTAGATCTTTTCTTATTGGAAAGACTGGAGAACTGAGAAAGTTAAAGCTAAAACATTAGGATGTGGAGACTGAAAATCACATTAAGTGCAGGTGCTGTGTATATGGGTATTTGTTATGTAATTCTCAACACTTTCCAGTGTGTTTGAAAAACTTGCTTCTCTCATACATTCACACTACACATATATTTTCATACCCAGGCAAGATCAAGCCTGAAAAGATGACCTGTCTCATAATCAGTAAGTAGTGATGTCAGTAATAAGAAAATTTGGGGCAGGTTAATCATTCCTCTCCTTGGCTCTCAGTTTATATCTGTATGTAAAATGAGGGGGAGGGAATTAGATGGTTTTAGGGGCCCTTACACTTCTAATGCATTAAGAGTCTAGGGAAGTAGGGGGGCACCTATTCACATTTTGAAGGTCTTCTCTTGATAAAGGATTCTTTTCAGATTTTCTGAGTTTCTTTAGTGCATTTAAAGCTATGACTTGTTTTACCAAAATCTGATTACTATATTTTTTTCTTAATAAGAGCAGCTAATACTTGTTAAGCAAATTGAATATGCTAGGCACCATGTCTTATACAGATTATTTGATTTAATCTTCCCCAATTAACACCACGAGATAGATATGTCCCCATGTTGTAGATAGGTCAACTGGCCCCTAGGCTATCTAACTTGCCTAAACAACATTGGAATTCAAATTCTCTTCAATCTAATCTATGGCTCTAGAATAATGTTAATCCTGCATTTCTCAAGACAGGCTGTTCATATTAGGGTGTGTTCAGTAGTTCCTTTGCTATTTGAACAGCCATGGTCCTCTGTGCCTCCTTGCCTTCTCAAATGGGGTGACCAACTAGGGATGGGGTAATTCCTTTGGTTTCAACTTAATTTCTGTGGCATAATATGGTCATATTTTCATTAAGAAATCCTTTTTGACCTCCCCTGGATGAGTAACAGTGGATTTCACTAGTTATCTTGAGTCACTTGTGAAGGATCAGATGAGCAGCAAGGGGGTCAGATTTGCTTTGTATTCCTAATTTGGTTCTTTGGGTCTATCATCTAAATTTCACAGCACCTACAATAAGACTTTCCATTATTTTGCAACCAATTAAGGTGAAAAAAATGCCATATGCAGGAAAATAATGTAAGATTAATTTCACATCTTCTTAGTTTTCACATTCATTATTTTTATAAGAACGGTGTCAGGTGGGCAAGTCAGGAATTATTTACCCACTTTGCAAATGAGGAAAGGGGAGGTGACTTACTCTAGGACATGGACTGGTTAGGTCCTAGACCTAAGGTTCTTTCTATACTATGCCACTTCCATAACGAAAAAGGACCATCAAACTTAGGCACTTTTTTGGCAGCCAGAAATAAATGAGTGTTGTACTGGACGTTGTCCCATGTCAGGCTGTGGCCATGGGACTCCCTATAGAGCTAGCAAATGTGCTACAGAATGAGGATAGTAGGACCAACCATGCCCCCTACTCAGACCCGTGTAATGTGATAAAGAAAGTAGTAGTAGCCAACAGCTGTGGTCCTAAAAGATAAAACTTTTAGGCGGGAAGTTAAGTGACAAGTAAACTTGTGTGTGTGTGTGTGTGTGTGTGTGTGTGTATGTATGTGTGTGTGCACGTGTGTTTTACTGTTGGGTGCTTTTGATATTTTTAAAAAGGCTGCTTGTGGAAGTCAGACCAAATAGCAGGAAGGTATTACAGCAAGATGGATTTGGGAAAGGACCAATCTCACTTGACGTTCCATCAGACAACTAATCCTCGTCAAGAAAAGAACCATGTTCCAGGTAATGAAAGGGATCTTAAGAAGTCTCTAGTGGCCACTAACAGTCTTAGTGACTGTTGGAAGAAACTGGGGCTGTGATTATTTTCCTAATTTTTATGGATCTGGCACCAAAAAAGGACATAATTGAGTATGTTCATATAACCTTAGATGGGAAGGAGTGGGGCTATATACCTTCTGCGGTGACTTCTAGTGCATTGATTCTAATAATCCAGAGAAAACAAGGAGATAACAAATAAATTATTAATAATATATTTAAGTGAAAGATAATGAAAATACCCAGTACTGGACAGTTGTGGTAAAACAAGTACACCCCCTGTACTTCTACGGTAGTGTAAACTTGGTATGATTTTTGGAAAGAGATCTGATCTACCTATTGTCAGATCTATAATAGTGCTTATTCTTTTGACTCACTAATCTTAGTCTTGAGTCTATCCTAAACTGGCATTTCTCAAAATGTTTTGTGGAACCCTAGGCTTTGAGACAGTTGTTAAACTATTTTGTGCCATGACTCCCTTTGGCATTCTTATGAACCTATAGAGCCCCTTTTAGAAAAATATTTTAAGTATGTAAAATTGATAGGATTACAAAGGAAGCAGTTGTAAGGTACAATTATCAAAATGAAAAATTGTGATACAGTAATATATATGCTTATTTATAGATGCATTAAAAACACAATTATATTAATGGTGTGCCTAAAACTATTGTATCAAATCAAATATATCATCTCAAATAAATTATATTTTAAGGTATCTGCAACAGCTATATTGTGATATGAAAAAAAATCTGTGATTTCTTTTGGGTGACAAAGTCACTTACTACACAAAAACTGCTCTGGTTTGTCACCTACATTCATAATTGAAGGAAACTTAATTGGACATTGGTAAAAATAAAGGTATGATATTTCCCCATCCAAGTTCACCATAAAAACTTCTGTCCTAAGAACAAAAGGTGCTATGGTCTAAGGGACATGCTCTGTCCTTAGTGCAAGTTTGTAATCACTTTACAGGCTCTAAAAAGACCCATTAACTTCTCACAAACTTAGACTGCAACAGAACCTTTTTCGATAATAACTTTCCAAAGAACTTGGAGAAACACCATCCTAAAGAAAAAATTCAAAAGGAAAAAAGCTGTATGCATGAATATCCTTATTATAGTTTGATCTGCAAGGGCAAAAAAAAATTCCTATAAAATTGGCAACAACCCATACAAGTGGAATAACTGGGCAAACAGGAATGCATCAACTTGATTAAAGTTATAATTATGAGGACTATGTCATACAAAATATATCTAACATAATGTTAGTTGATAATGATCAAATTATGGTATGCTATTACTATACATTTGTGTAATATAGGGACTAGATGTGTATGAGAAATAAAATGAAAACAGGTTATATTGTTAAGGATGGCAGAAAATGGCTGATTTTATTCTTTTATGTTCCTAAAATACGTAAAATTATTTTAAAGAAATTAATGAGTTGATAGCACATTTACATACTGACCCTTTTGTTTAAAAATATTTATGAATGTTTGCTCCTAGGCATTCTTCGGAGGTACAAGGATAAATAAGATGTGGTTCTTGTCTCCCAAATGCTAGGAGAAAAACAGACATCTAGCATAGAGTTTCTACCACTTTGCAATAGGACTCTTGCTGATAAATGCCACAACTTATTACTATCTCCTATAACTTCCATTTTGATCCCACAGAAGTCATTGGAACTTGGAATTTGCGAAACAGAGAGCAACTCAGAAAAAGAAAAGCTGAAGCACAAGAGAAGCAAAATTTGCAATGGCACTTTGGGTATGGTTTCCCAGGAATGATTTTTTTTATCATGTTATAGCAGAAACTTGTGTACTCAAGTTCTGTGGCGACTCTGTTGAAGAATATCCAATTAGCTCCCTTAATTCTACTCTTATCAAGCAACCTTCTGATCATTACTTAGCTTCTCAAATAATTGCTACATAGAAAGAATTCATTCATCTGTTAGTCCAAGCATCCTCTGCTGTGTGACTTTGCATTTCTCCCTGTTCACTTAAAAATTAGTCTTTAGGTACATATATCATTTTCTCTGAGCTGGTTGATGAGTTCTTTTCCTGGACAAATGGAGCTAGTCTCAGTGTGCTGATAGAATTGGGTTTCTGGGCTTGCCGGGTAGGGAGGCCAAGGCTGGAAAAGCCATTGAAGTAGATGACACTTTAGTGAGATTCTTGGCTGCTGGCTGGCCATGCTCTTGTGACATCTCCATACTACTGAGGACTGTTCCTACTACAACATACCACCCAGCGAAACCTTTAATGGTTCCAAAGAGAAGCAGCAGAGTGTAATGGCTAAGAGCCTTGGCTGTTAAAGCCAGAATGACTAGATTTGAAGTATGGCCCCCTCATTTCTAACCATTTGACCTTGGACAAGAAAGTGCCTTGTTTTTGTCATTTGGGAAATGGAGATAATAATACTATCTGCCTTGTAAGTAGATGACGTGAAGATTGTATGAGATAACAGAATAAGTAAATTACTTAAAACAGTGCCTGGCACATAGGAAGCACTGTTTCCTGTGTTAATATGAGTACTAATTTATATTTGAATAATTCATTCATTCAAGTTATTATATGTAATTCTTTTTTAAAAAGATTTATTTATTTATTTATTTATTTATTTATTTATTTATTTATTTATAGCAGGAGGAGGGGCAGAGGGAAAGGGAGAAAGAAAGGAGACTCCCTGCTGAGAAGGCAGCCCAATGCTGGCTCCACCACATGACCCTGAGGTCATGACCTAAGCCAAAAGCAAGAGTTGGCCGCTTACCTGACTGAGTCACCCAGTGGCCCCTATTATATGCAATTATTACAACCACATGAATTTGGACAGATACCATTTACTCCATTTTATCTATGAAGAAACCAAGATACAGAGAGTTTAAGTGACTTGCCCATGAAACTACTAGGAAGAACATGGAACATTACTCAGATTACCTCATATAGAGATCTACCTAACAAATTGTTTAGGATTTAATATCTAGGATGAAATAGTCGTTTCCTGAAAAAGTCACATACACCATCTTTTAAAAATCTAATAATAAGGACTTTATAATTTATCTTGTTACCTTTGTTATTGCAATTAAAGTTTAAAATGCTGAGGTGTCATTCCATCTTAATTTTTAAAATATTGATTTCAAACTGGTTTTGGTGAGGTAATCTTTAAAAAAAATTAACTATGGCAAACTTCAAACATAAACAAAGGTAGAGGAGGATACACGTTAATTATGCAAGGCATTATGAGCACTGCAAAGATATAAAAGCACTAGTTTTACCTAGTTTGCTAAAAGAAATAAGAATGTTTACTATAAGAGGGATCCCTGGGTGGCACAGCGGTTTAGCGCCTGCCTTTGGCCCAGGGCACGATCCTGGAGACCCTGGATCGAATCCCACGTCAGGCTCCCGGTGCATGGAGCCTGCTTCTCCCTCTGCCTGTGTCTCTGCCTCTCTCTCTCTCTCTCTCTCTCTCTCTCTCTCTCTCTCTCTCTCTGTGACTATCATAAAAAAAAAAGAATATTTACTATAAGAATATTTCCCCAGAAATAACAAGAGTATGAAACAGCCTATGTTCCCTGACTAAAAGTATGACCCTCATAATCCTAAGCAAGGAGAGCATTTCAGCCCTGTGGTCTATAAGACTCCATGGAGCAGGTAGCGTGGAACAGAATTTCAATAGGTTTAGAAAAATGATGAAATGTTTATTTATAGTACCTTTTCCTTCCCCAACCCCCCAGCCCATCTGCATTAGCCATCTGTATTTAGTTATAGTGGCAGTTCCTAACAATTTGTCATTGGCTGCAATTTCCATGCATATCCTTTTATCTTTTAGATCCTTCATCTAGCTATTAATTCAGAGTAGGTATAATATGACCACTCATGCCTTTCCACCAGGCTTCTTTACTTCCAGAATGTTTTTGCAGCTTTTGACTCAGCTTACAGTACATCTCATTTGACATGTATCATGGCTATTTAGCATTCTGTACACAAGACACTGAATTAGATAAGCAATTAGATATACATCTGTCTGCAGGCTGCACAGACAAGGAGCTGTGCCTGGATTGCAGATCTAGAAATGCAATTATATCCATTTGCTCAGGGCATATTGGGACTAACTCACACAGACTAAACCCAAAGAGACTAGTGTATAAACCAGAACGCCAGTCTATTCATTTATAAAATCAGTTATACGTTTTCCATAACCATTCTTTAAATATATGCTCTCAAACTCTCTCTCTCTCTCTCTCTCTCTCTCTCTCTCTCAACTCCCCAAGAAGATTTCATGTGAGCAGGGTGTTCCCTGAGGAACATTTCCTTTCCTAATAACTGAGAACATCTAGCTCTGCTCCTTCATTTTATAAAGGAGATTGAGGCCTAGAGAGATTCAGTGATTTGTTCATGGTCATGCAATATGGCAGTGGGAACCCTGGGGCTGTTATCACTAAGCATTTCTTTGAATCCTGTGGCCCCATTGCTGACATTAATTCTGATCTTCCACAGAGAGAAAAAATGCAAGCGGCCAAGGACAGGAAAAGGAAATAAAAGAGGCAGAAAGAGAAAACAAAATACAGAACTGAAGGTGGAACCTCAGTCACAATTTAAAAAGGACATGATGGAGAAAGCACTGGCATCTGTGGAGAAAGAAACTGAGCCACCCAGGAGTATAACCGAAGCACTCTCTCTGGTAGCCTCTCCCAAAAAAGTTGTGCCTAAGAAACAATTTTCTGCAGAGGATAAAGAAAGCATTATGTATCAGGAAAGTTCTTCTGAGTTACAAGGAATAGTGGTACAAAACCACCCTTCTGAAACATGCCAAGATATGGCTGAACCTGAAGTCCTCTCTCCTACAATGTGCCAAGAAAGAGTGGTACTTCAAGACCATACTTCTAAAATTTGTCCTGATATGGCTGAACCTGAAGCCCTCTCTCCTATAATGTGCCAAGAAACAGTTGTACTTCAAGGTCATCCTTCCAAAATGTGTCCTGATATCTCTGAACCTGAAGCCTCCTCTCCTACAATGTTCCAAGAAACAGCTATACTTCAAAGCCATCCTTCCAGAATGTGCCCTGATACAGCTGAACCTGAAACCCTCCCTCCTACAACAAGCCAAGAAATGGCTGTAGTCAAAGACATTCCTTCTAAAACACCTGAAGATGTAGCTGACCTGGAAGCATGCTCTCTTGAAGCACCCCCCAAACCAGATGTGCCTAAAGGATACGCTCTTGAAACATACCAAAAAGGAGCTGAACCCGAGGAATACAATTCTGACCCAGATCAAGGAATGGCTGAGATTGAAAGCCTCTTTCCTAAAACACAAGACATAGCTGTGCCTAAAGACCTTTCTACAAAAACACACCAAGAAACAGTTGAACCTGAACACTTCTCTTGTGAAACATATCAAGAATTTGCTATGCCTAAAGCATCCTGCCATCAAAGGAGCCAAGAAATGCCTGCCCCTGGGGAATATCCACCTGAAATATGTCAAGAGACACCTAGACCTGAGGACTCTTCACCTGAAATATACCAAGAAACAGCTGGGACTGAAGACTATTCACCTGAAATATACCAAGAAACACCTGGGCCTGAGGACCTCTCTACTAAGACATATAAAAATAAGGATACGCCTAAAGAATGCTTTCCAGAACCATACCAAGAAACAGGTGGGCCCCAAGGCCAGGATCCTAAAATACATCAGGATGATGCTAAGGATGTTTATACTTTTCCCCGAGGTATGGTATTTTAATGGTACAAGTCAGCAACACTGCCACTTAATGGGGTCCCCCATTTATAATTTAGAGCACCAACATAGGTACATCTCCCTCAAAATGGTGATTTATAGCCTTCTTTGACAATCATAGGCTATCTCCCATTATCACAAGGGATACCATTAATGTTATTTGCTAGTTTTGAGTAAAATATGATTTTCATCCAAGTAATGCCTGTTTGGCACACATTTACAAAGAATTAAAATAATTGAAAATATAAGTGTATGTTGTAGGTACCCAACATACTATCTGTTCTGGGAAGCTTTAGCTAGTGAAGTGAATGAACCCAATGTAAGAGAATTATGTGCAAGATATTGTGAAGAACAATCAAGTTTAAATTAACAAGAAAGCTTGATGAATACGATTTTTCTTGAGAACTGAGATTTCCCAGAAAACTAAAAGCAAGTAAGTTCAGGGTACAAGGTGCCAAAGAAGCTATAAAGGTACAAAATATGATCCTGTTACTAGGGAACTCATTTTTGTAGGATTTATCAGGTTTGCCAAAACCCTTCTCAATGTTTGTTCCTGAAAAGCTTTCTCCTAAGCATAACACTTTTAAAATAACGGAACCTTTCTTCAGTTTGACTTGCCTCAGGGATATAAATGAGAACCCTGATTCTCTTTGGACAATACCATAGACAGTATAAGAAATGGGCTGAGTCGACCAGACCATAGTTCTCAGGAAATTGTTTTCTAAAGAAATCCCTCTGGTAACTTATTTATTCTCTTTCCTAAAAGATGAGTGTAACAAAAGCATGAGGTTAGTTGGGTTTTGAGAAATATCTTAAAAAGACAGGTGAAGCACTTGCCTGTGTGGATAGAAGCCCCTGCTAGAGAAGCAGCTGTCATCTGACTAGAAAATGTTCATGATAATGAATTATGAATGTTCATTATGATAAATTAGAGTAATATGTAAGTGAATATAGGGTAAGTCCACTCTAGTACCGTCTCCTATCTTTGATCCTCATCCTGAAGGTTGTTTTCCTTTGTTTTAACAAATGAGATAGTATACATTCTATTCTGTAACCTGCATTTTTTTCACATATAATATATATCGTGGCCATCTTAATGACATTTTTTGTAACAACTGTATGGTATTTTTATATATACTATGATCCATATCTCTCTATATATATTTATATATACATATTGTAAAATTTATTCAACCAATCTCTGAAATGCCAAACATTTAGGTTACCACCAAGTTTTATATTATGACAATGTTCAATGAACATCATTGGAAGTAATATTTATTTGGCACTTTCTATGCACCAGAAACTATTAAACCTTTTGTGTGAATTATTTTATTCAATGTTAAATATTCTAACAGAAAAACAATATTATCCCCATTTTGTAGATAAGGAAACTGAAGCACTGGAAGCTTAAGTCTATACAGTTATATTCTTTGGATAAATTCCTAGAAATTGAAATGCTGGGCCAAAGGGAATCCACATTTAATGTTTGGATACATTCTGTCAGACTAGCTCCCCAAGGTGTTGTAGCAATCCACACAAACCAAGAGTTTATATAAGTGCCTTTCCCCTGGCCCTTGTCAATACTGCATGTGATTACATTTTTTTTAAATTTTTTAAAAAACTTATTTATTTATGATAGTCACAGAGAGAGAGAGAGAGGCAGAGGCACAGGCAGAGGGAGAAGCAGGCTCCATGCACCGGGAGCCCGATATGGGATCCGATCCCGGGTCTCCAGGATCGCGCCCTGAGCCAAAGGCAGGCGCCAAACCGCTGCGCCACCCAGGGATCCCTGCATGTGATTACATTTAAGTAAAAGTTTAAAAAACTTTTCTGAGACACCCAGGTGGCTGAGTCAGTTAAGTGTCTGACTCTTGATTTTGGCTTAGGTCATGATGTCAGGGTCCTGGGATCAAGTCCCGTGTCGGGCTCCATGCTCAGCAGGGAGTTTGCTTGAGGGTTCTCTGTCTCCCTTTCTCTCTGCCCCTCCTCCTGCTCTCTCTCTCTAAAATAAATTCATCTTTTAAAAACATAATAGAAAAAATCCTTTCCTGTATGTTAGGTTTAAAAAACCCCAAACAACCTATTGTTTTAATTTCTACTTTTTTGATGACTAATTTGAATTTTATGACTGTTATAAATTTGAATTTTTTCTTTTGAGAATTGCTTGTTCGAATTCCTGTTCCATTTTAAATTTGATCTTTTTGGATTGATTTTTAAAATCCCTATATAATAGTGATTAAGCCTTTACCTACACATAAGTTGTAAGTATTTTCCCAGTTGTTGATTTGGGTTTAACTTTATTTATAATGATTTTTGTCATCTACATGACAAGATTTTAATTTTAATTTTTATTTATTCAAACCTAACTAAAATATTAAATATTTTAATATTTAGTTATTTAAACCAGTCATTCTTTTCCCTTATGGTTTCTGGCCTGTGTTCTGCTTAGGGAGGGCTTTCTAATCCTAAGATTATAAAAAACATAGTTTCTACAACATTTATGGTATTTTAATATTTAAATCTTTAATTCATCTGAAATTTGCTTTTGTGCAAGGTGTGAGGTAGTTTTTTTCTCTAGTCACCTGTCCCAATACCATTTATTGAACCTATTTTCATATTTTATTTTACAGAAATGAGAGAAAAACCCAAAGCAGAAGAACCAGAGATACCAGCAATTCCAAATGTTCCTCAAGAGATTCATCCAGAAAATGATGTCTTTAGTTATGTTTTGTTTTAACAATGCTCAACCATCAATAGTTGTCCAACAAAATACACATCTTAATATTTTGTGTGTGTGATTTTCTCAAAACATTGTAGATCTCTATAATACTCATTAATATTTTAAGTGTGTTTTTTCACATAGAGACTACATCTGGAAGAACAGGAAGATGTTTTTTCAGGTTCTGTCATATAGATGATATTCTGCTAATGTATGCGTGTGTGTGTGTATGTGTGTACATATATGTATATTGGGGTGAGGATAGTGGTGGGAAGAAATGGGAAAGGAATGGCTGAATGATTTTCCCTGCTAAGAAGAAACCACTCTTTGGTTAATTCTTTTTTTTTAAATTTTCCTTGGTAAATTTTAAAAAGTAGAGAAACTATTGTCTGAACACTTAAAATCTGGGAGAGTAATAGTTGTGTTTTTTTTTTTTTTGTAAACTTTGTTCAATTAGCCGTGTTAACAATAGCATCAACATTTTATTCAGGCTTTGGTTGGTTGGTTTTAAAATTAATTTTAACAATTATCATTCTGGGACTCCTTCAAAGATATTCTGAGGTGATGAGTTAATGAATGCAGTTTATGAGTGTTTGAAGTTTGATTTTCTTTTTCCTTTTTAAATATTGTATTTGTGCAAAATGTACATTAAATCTTTATTACATGCTTCACAGTGTGGACATCATCATGGTAAGCACATCATCCTTACCCACCAGGGGTTTAATCTAATCTCATGGGGAATAAAGGAGAATACAAATAATAGTAAATGCAATTGTCATTTGAAACATAGATACAAGAGGAGGCACTCACTTTTTTTTTTCTGGAGTGCTCTGAAAAAAATATCTTTGAGAAGCCTTGAAAGATGGAAAAGGTTTGTATTGTAGGTGAGGATCGTGGCATTATTGTATGTGACACAGAGAAGGGTGAATTCAAGACATTATGGAAAATTACATGCAAACTACAGTTAACACACAGTCCATGTGGAATGACAGGCTAATGGGCTAAAAATCTCAGAATGGACAGAATTTTGCATACCTAAGAAATATGTGTTAGGTAATGTGAAACTAAGACTTTTTTAAAAAAGATTTTATTTATTTATTCATGAGAGAGACAGAGAGAGACAGAGGCAGAGACACAGGCAGAGGGAGAAGCAGGCTACCTGCAGGGAGCTCGAGATGGGACTCGAACCGGGTCTCCAGGATCACGCCCTGCACCAAAGGCAGGCACTAAACCGCTGAGCCACCCAAGGATCCTTTTTTTTTTTTTAAGATTTTATTTATTCATGAGAGAGACAGATAGAGATAGAGACACAGGCAGAGAGAAGCAGGCTCCATGCAGGAAGCATGATGCGGGACTCGATCCCAGGACTCCAGGACCACACCCTGGGCGGAAGAAAGGCGCCAAACCGCTAAGCCACCCAGGGATCCTCGAAACTAAGACTTTTGAACAACGCAGTTTTAGTATTTTAATAGTGTCTATCTGTGATAATGGTCAGAGGTGGCTGAAAATGACAAGAGACTGGGGGCAGGAAAAGGAACTATTCTGGGTGGGAAGATATCTGAAAATCCCCCCAAAATACCAGGCTGTTGGCAGTTTTCCATCTTCACTCAAAGTGAAGGAGATTTTTTGGAAGTAAAGGTTTAGTTCAGCAACGACACAATTGTGCAAGTTCTTCATCTAGGTACACAGGCACTGTGCCAGGTACTAGGCTATACAGCAAAGAGCAAAACAAAGTTCCAGTCTCTCAAGCATTTGGTGTAGAACAGAGGTTCTTAAGTCTCAGGATACATTAGAACCACTGTGGAAGGTTTCAAAATTACAGCTGTCCAGACATCTCCCCCCGGGCATTTTTATTTACCTGTCTAGGATGACATCCAGGCATAGATATGTTAATTTTTTGTTCTTTTTTGTTTAAAAAAATTTTAGGAATAATTTTAGAAATTATAAAAAAGTTGTAAAGATAGTACACAAGTTTCTGTTTGCCTTTCACCAAGTTTATCCTAATATTAACATGTTCTGTAACCATGATCCACTTATCAAAACTTAAGAAATTAAGACTGTGACATTACCATTATTTTAATTTCATTCGTTTTTCTACTAATATATTTTTTCTGCTTCAGGATCCCATCTAGGATACAATATTGCACTTAGGGTATTTGAAAAGTTCCCCAGGTGATCCTAATGTGCAGCTACAGTTGAGGGCCACTGATATAGTGGAAGGTTACAATGCTGTTTTCCTCCTGTTTGCACACACTCCCCCACAAACCTTCCATTTGTTTCCTCTTGGGATATATTCATTGTACAAAGATTACGCATACCCCATTATATTAAGCGACATATTGAGGGCAGCATAACCATAACAGTCATTCACATCTGGATGGCACTTCAGAATTTACATTTTCATATACACTTAAATTTGATTTGCACAAGAGTTTGTGAAATGGGTGGGGCAATGATTATCATTCCAGTTTTATAGATGAGGGAATAACCTCAAAGAGGCTGAGTATTCACCTAAAGTCACATCTAACTACCTCAGTGCTTTTTATTTTTATTTATGATAGTCACAGAGAGAGAGAGAGGCAGAGACACAGGCAGAGGGAGAAGCAGGCTCCATGCACCGGGAGCCCGACGTGGGATTCGATCCCGGGTCTCCAGGATCGCGCCCTGGGCCAAAGGCAGGCGCCAAACCGCTGCGCCACCCAGAGATCCCAACCTCAGTGCTTTTTAATGCTGGGTATAATCTTAGGAAATCTTGTTTCAATTCACCTGCTAGAGTGGGTCAACATTAGAGGAAAAAAAAAGTAAATGGAAGTTTCATGTTCTAATAGTGTTGCATTAAGATGAACCATAAGATAGTTGTATATGTACAATGCACAAGAGCATAAAGGTGAGATGGGGAAGTAGATAGAGGGAGGAATATAGTACACTAGAAGGAGAGGGATCTTCTCTTTTTACCTCTTAGAACCCTTTTTACTTGTCCTCTTACCCCACTCCCTGTATACACACAATCTCTGCTTTCTCACTATTCTCAAACACCAGCGTGCATCTGAACACTTTACCGTTTTCTTCTTGGCTTAGAACCTTGAGGCCACAGAACCAAAAGTTTTGCAACCATCTACCCCTACTTTATAGGTACAATAGTGGTTCTTAAAAATCCATGAATCCTATGCTATTAAATCTAAAATGATGCATGAGAAGTCCTGAAGCTTTAGCTGTTTTTTCAAAGGGATACTTCATCCAAATGAAAGATTAAGAACCATTTTTAAATGTAGGATGATGACCACCTATATCAGAATCATTTAGGTTTTTGTAAAGGAATATTCCCAGGTCTTACCTCCAAAGAAACAGTTGCCTTAAAAACTACAAATAATCAGATATAACTCTGGAAAGGATAATAAAAAAACCTCAGAGCACATAATAAAGGTGCTACATATTTAAGTTCCTATTTTCCATAAAGAGAAAATTTACCTTTGAAATTTAGATGTAGCAAGCTAATTCAGTGTTTCCAAATCGGCCTTGCATCTCAGTATACTTGTTACACTCCGTAATGCATGATTGTGGCGTGATTATCATGAGATAATAATGCCTAGGGTCAGGCGGGCAAATACCTCTCATTTTCCACAATGGTTTGTCCACAAATTAAGCGAGATGTATCACTTTCAACACCACCATCTAGCGGCAAACTCGATGCCAGGTGTTACTGCCCCAGTTTTACGAAGTGTATATATAGCTCAATTGTTCTCAAACTTGTTTCTGCAGGTGCACAGATGAATGGCATTTCTCCTGGAAACAGATGCCATTAGGCATTGTTTTCCAATTTTTTCATGGGCAGAAGACACATATATGAATTTGATCAATTTTAAAGTGTGTGTTTTATTTTTTATTTTAAAGATTTTATTTATTCATGAGAGACACACAGAGAAAGGCAGAGACGCAGGCAGAGGGAGAAGCAGGCTCCGTGCAGGGAGCCCGACGCGGGACTCGATCCAGGGTCTCCATGATCACGCCCTGGGCCGAAGGCAGCGCTAGACCGCTGAGCCACCCGGGCTGCCCTGTGTGTGTGTGTTTTAAATCACAACCTTCTCTTTAAATCTTTGGCTGTTACTGGTTGTTTTCTAGTAGTGATCTGTAACTCCGTGACAAGTGAAAAGAGGTTTAGCAACAGATTTTCATGGTTGAGCCTTTAACATCTGGGCACTTGCATGCTTTTGAATATTTTATATTCCAAGCCATATGTTCCCCCCGCCCCACACAGGTTTTTTTTTTTTTTAAAAAAAACCCAGACACAGAACTGTATGTACAGAGAAACTTGACATAGGAAGGAGATGACGCTACAAGTAAGTAGGTAAAAAGGTAGTAGCATCGCTGCAAGGATAACTGTTTTTATCGCGTGGGATGAAAACAGGATTCTTGTTGGCTCTCAACTTTTCATAGCTGAACAGAAAAAGATCGGGCAGCCCGGGTGGCTCAGCGGTTTAGCGCCGCCTGCAGCCCGGGGTGTGACCCTGGAGTCCCGGGATCGAGTCCCGCGTCGGGCTCCCGGCATGGAGCCTGCTCCTCCCTCTGCCTGTGTCTCTGCCTCTCTCTCTCTCTCTGCGTCTCTCATGAATAAGTAAATAGCGTCTTAAAAAAAAAAAAGAGAGAGAGAGAGAGATCAGTCTCTCCCTTGTACATGGCATTTGGCTCTCAATTTCATTCTTGCTCCAGTTCCCGTTTGGCAAGGAGCACAAAATCCAGCCCCCCTCCCCCCCCCACCTCTTAACCCCTATTCCAGTGACGTTCCCCATTTGGGTTCCTCGCTGACAAAACATCGTTTTATTGTGGGAAAAATTAAAGTATACAGAAGTATAAATAATCATGTGTTCTCACCACTCAAGAATGTCTAATTTCCTGACATCGACCACTAGGCTATGTGGTAACTGCACACACACATCCTTTTTCTTTAAAAATCCGTGTCCTTCACTGGACGCGTAGACTCCTACTATATTAAAGTTCCGAGAGAGGCATCATAGTGCGTAATTCTTCATGGAAGCGTCCCCCGCGGCAAGCGCGGGAAATCGGGAGTCACTGACTGGTGGTGAGTCGCAGAGGATCAGAGCGAGGAGACGGAGAGCCGGGCCCGGGAGAGGAACCGAGGCCGGGAAAGGGCTTCAGGAAACCCACCGAAACCCTCCGGGTGCCGCCGGCGGCGCCGGCTCAGAGCGCTCCCCGCTCCCCGCCCCCGCGCATGCGCCAGGCTCTGGGTCCGCGCCTTCCAGGGCGGCTTCTGCGCAGGCGCCAAGCTCGGGGACCGGAAGCGGAAGGCCTGTAGCTTAGGGTCGACACCTCAGTGAGCAGCAGCTATGCGCGCCTTGGAGGAGCCGGGGCCTGGGCCCGCAGCGACCCCGTGCGGGTGCGTGAAGCCGGCTCTGGAAACAGGTAACTTCTGACAGACCCGCGGTTCCGCACCCGAAGGAGGCCTAGGCGCAGGCCGCTGACTTGACGGCAGAGAGGGACACAAAACGCGACAAGTTGAACCAAAGTGCGTCATTGTACTTATTGCGAAGCCACGGATCACGTGCACGGGCGACCACGTGATTTTGCCGAGGCGAGCGGAATGATGTCACCTCCTGTTTGGGGTAGCTGCGGCTGGGTCGGGCTTGGCGCGGTGGCTGGAGCAGCCACGTGCTGAGCAGCAGCAGCGTTTCTCGCAGAGGTCGTGCTCCTGTGAGAGTGAGGATGTGAACGCTGGTGTTAGCGGGTTTGGAATTAATAAATACAAGAGAGAGGCATCCTGTACTGAGGGAAGTGAGGCGGGAGAGACAGGAAATCTTTTTATACTGGTTCTGGAAGAGATGGGCATGAGTTTGTTTTCACGTCATCATAGAGAGAATATTAGATTAGAAGAAGCAAATGGGAGAAAATTAAAATCTGCTGTCACCCAGAGAAAACTACACTTAATATCCCGGAGTCTACTTTCCATTCCTGTTTCAGTTCATGCACGGTAGAAAAATGGGATTATGTGACGCCACTGTCTTAAGACTTTTTTCTTTTCTTTTATGACTTTTTTTCTAAAATTTAAGTTCCCTATAAATCTATGGCTATTAATAATTTTAAGGGATTGCACATTATTCTGACTTAAAATTTCTTTTTTTAACTTATTTGAGAGAGGGAAAGCATGTGTGCACATAAGCAAGGTGAAGATGGAGAAGCAGGCTCCCCACTTAGCAGAGAGCCCCATGTGGGGCTCGATCCTAGGACCCCAGGATCATGACCGGAGCCAAAGGCAGATGATTAACCAACTGAGCCACCCAGGCACCCCCATTTTGCTTTAGAGCTGTGTTCTGATTAACCAATTACTTACTGTTGGGCATTTAGGTTACTGCCAGTTTTCAATGTGAAGAAAATTCTTAAAACTAAAATGTGCGCATGTTATGAAAATTTAGCTAAAAGTACTGTAACTTGGTCAAAGGTTGTGCTCATTTAAAAAAAAATTATTGCACAGTGCCAGATTACAGGTCTAATATTTTGATATGCAGGAAGGAACAGGGCTCAGAGGTCTACACAGCAGGGAATGGGGGAGCTGTAAGCTTGAAGTACTGGATGGAGGTTTATTGAATTCACACTGTAGAGAACCTTGATTTTAGTATACGTGCTCCTCTAGCAAGCTCTGTAGAGAACCTTGAATATCAGGTTAAGAAATATAACCTCTGCTAACAGAAAGGTGGAAAATTTAGCAAGAGGGTAGCATAAAATTAAGGAACGCGGAATCTGGAGTATTGATATAGTGCACAAGGGGAAGGGCCTGTAATGGGGACATGAATTAAGACAAGGTTAATTTAACAGTCCAGGCAGGAAGGCAAAAGGACCTGAACTATCTGTCAACACTAAGACATACAGTTAAACTTTGTGTATAAAAACTCTGCATTAGGGCAGCCCCGGTGGCTCTGCGCGCCACCGTCAGCCCAGGGGTGATCCTGGAGACCTGGAATCGAGTCCCATGTTGGACTCCGTGCATGGAGCCTGCTTCTCCCTCTGCCTGTGTCTCTGCCTCTCTCTCTCTCTCATATTAATAAATAAATCTTTAAAAAAAACTCTGCATTAATAACCTGTTGGTTTTTCCCTTACTACACATTATACAGTTGTATTGTTAAAATGAGGCGAAAGCCTGAATAGGAGCTTGGAAAATCAATCTTTGTTGAGCACTTTCTGTTGTACTAGGTGCTTTACATATTTTTTCTATGATGTATTCAGAGTTCTTGTTTTGGTTTCTTTTTAAGATTTTATTTATTTACTCACGAGAGGCAGAGACATAGGCAGAGGGAGAAGCAAGCTCCCTGTGAGGAGCTTGATGCACTTCTCCATCCCAAGACCCCAGGATCATGGCCTGAGCTAAAGGCAGATGCTCAACCACTGAGCTACCCAGGTGCCCCTCTTGTTTTTTTTTTTTTTTTTTTTTTTTTTACCCAAACTTAGCTTAATATTGGGCAGTTGTATGCAGTTGGAAAGTGTTTGTTAAGCAAATGAAAGCAGGACACAGGGATCCCATCTTACTAGGTTAGGGGTCCTTTTTTGGCCCTTTTTCTTTATGACATTTTAATGAACACCAAAGAATTGTTTGGCCTCAGTTTCTTCATCTTTAAGGTATTTATTGTCTATTCTGTGGGAACATGGATGAGGATAAACAAAAGAATGCCTGTAAACATGGAAAAAAATTTAAAGTCATCAAAAACATACAGTTTAGAAGGGTCTTAGAATCATAATATTGAGAGAGAAAGAAAGTCTGAGAAGAAAACATGCAGTTTGATACCAGTTTTTATGGAGTTCAAAGGCAAAATAAAGGAAGTATTATCTAGGCATGCATATTCATGAGATTACAATTGTATTAAAGGGAGTGATATGAGATCCCATTCAGAATGGCACCTGTTTATCTCAGGGGGAAAGGATGGGTGTGCCATAGAAGAAAAGCAATATAAAAGATAAAATTTGTTGGTAAAGCTCTAGTTCTTGGAATGGGTGGTGGGTACACAGGGCTTCATAGTATTATGCTCTGTTATACATTTATTACATATATATAAATAACAGTTTTTATAAGTGAAGAGTGACGAAAGGTGCTATGAGGGACAACACCAGGTCTATAATCTTACCACCCATGCTGGTGGCACAGACTTAATGGATGCTGGAAATAAAATGATGGTCTAGAGTGTATAACATCTCTTAAAAGAAGTTAGTAAAGCTTTCATGAAATGTTAAAAAAAAAAAAGTTGTTTGTAAATTCAAAATGCTAGTTGTGGATACCTTGGACTTTAGACCTGTATTCGTGCTGCTTAGCCAAGTTTTCCTTTCTTTTTCCTTCAAGTTTTCTTCTTTTGAAAGGAATTACTACTTAAAAAAAACAAAAGGGATTTCTAATTTTTGTAAAAATTTCAAATACACAAATTACAAAATATAAGAATAATCCAAAAATCTCACTGTCCATTTTTACCACTTTACCACATCCAATTTACATGTTACCATATCCATTTTACCAAAATGTTAAATTTTGCTGAATGTCCTTCCAAATAGTTTTCTAGACATGTACAAGTACATATTTAGGTAGATGTATAAACAAACTTTCATAAGGGATTATGTTCTATCACTTTCTATTTTAGTTAGTTTAGACTTAAACCTTTTTTCCTTGTAACATGAATTTTTTGAGTACCTATCCCCTTGCATACAATATAGTAGACAGTGAACATAGTAGTAAACAACATAGAAAAACTCCTACCAACATGGAGCTGACATTCTAAAGAGGCAGAGAGCTACTGGTCCATGCCTAACCTGAAATCTACCCTGTCTCTAGATATTTTAATAGTATGATACCATGTACTTTCTTTATTGCTTAAACTGCTTTGCTTCGTATGTTCTGTTCCTTTTAAGTGAGTGCCTCTTTATTTGGACATGTTTTCCCCACTATCTGAAAGTAGAGCATGCCTATGAAATTTTTCGTAAGCTGAAATGGTATAATGCAGAGAAGCAATTATCATTAATTTATATGGGAAAATCGTTGAATGTTCCCAGACCCAAAAAATAACCTCTCTCAGGTTTTTCTGTTACTTTAGGTCACATCTTTCTAGGGAATGCAAAAAGCAAATCCAGATAAAGCACAGATGCTCACACAGTTCAAAGCTCTGGTGGCTTGATGCTCAGATGCTGAGTGTGGTTCCTGGGGAAGGAGCTGGGTGGGGCTGATCTCCCTGCTTGGGGCACACCCTACATCTATAATAGCTTGCTGCAAAACAAATGCTGAACACTTCACTTTTTGCCTTTTTTGGTAAAATCAGATATTCTCTTCGTATTTCTTTTGATTAGCAAAAACAAGTACTGATATAGGTCTTTTGCAAATGTACAGCAGCTTAACACAAACTTGAAAAGCATGAGGATGTATACACCTGTCTCCTTATCTTTCATTTTTCTTTGTGTTATCTTTCATACTCCAGCCAATTGAAATAGCTTGTTCCCTGCATGTGCTATGGCACTTCACATTTAACTTTGTGCATGTTATTCTATTTTATTTTTAATTTTTAAAAATAACTCATTTATTTTTTAAGAGTATGTGCATGCCCAAGTGTGAGTCGGGGGAGGAGCAAAGGGGGATGGAGAAGGAGAGAATCTCAAGCAGACTCCATGCTCAGCCCGGAGCCCAACTTGGGGCTTGATCGCACAACCCTGAGATATTGACCCAAGCTGAAACCAAGAGTCAGATGCTTAACTAACTGAGTCACCCAGACACTCCAATACTCTTTATTTTAAATACCCTTTTAGGGGATCCCTGGGTGGCGCAGCAGTTTGGCGCCTGCCTTTGGCCCAGGGCGCGATCCTGGAGACCCGGGATTGAATCCCACATCTGGCTCCCGGTGCATGGAGCCTGCTTCTCCCTCTGCCTGTGTCTCTGCCTCTCTCTCTCTCTCTCTCTCTCTCTCTCTCTATCATAAGTAAATAAAAATAAATAAAAATAAATAAATACCCTTTTAGCCCTGACCAAAGTCACATACCTTAGAAATGGTAACAGAATTTGAAATATGGTCATAGTAGAACTTCTAAAAATACCTCCTATCTTTCTTAGACCTGCACTCTTTCTGGCTATCTAATGGTATATAATAATGTCTGTGTAGTTATGAGGCTATTTATATGTATTCATATGAATCATTTTTAATAGTTGCATAACACTTGGTAGATGTTAAAACTATGAAATCAGTGCATTGAAGAAAACATGTTTTCCTACATTTTTATTTGACATTTTGACTAATGATTTCTTGCCTAATTTTCTTCTGTAGGGAATCTTTTAACTGAGCCAATTGGCTATTTGGAATCCTGTTTCTCAGCGAAGAATGGTACTCCAAGGCAGCCATCTATTTGTAGCCATTCGCGGGCTTGTTTGAGAATTAGAAAGAGCATCTTTAATAATCCTGAACATTCTTTGATGGGCTTAGAACAGTTTTCTCATGTTTGGTAAGTTGTATTATAGTTAGAAGTGGTTCTTTGGGCCAGAACTTGCCCTTGAGTAAAGTACTCCAGGGGAAGGCAACCTTGGGAGTCTGCCATCCAGATCACCTTTATCAATTGCATGGAACTGCCATACCACATTCATGCACATGACTGCATACATAACTTGGGCACCCTCATGGAAACTGGAGATCCACTGAGGGGGCACATTCCATTTGCAGTTGGTTCTAATTGTGATGAATGCCTTCCATTGAGCTGAAATCTATATACCTTCTTGATTCTGCCTATGGGTCATTATTCTATCTTCTGGACCAGGGGACAGCGAGCTATAGCCTGTAGAATCCATCTACATCCTATCTTTGTAAATAAATTTATGACAACACAACCACTTCCATTCATTCCATCAATACATTCCATTCCATCAATACAATTGTGCATGGCTGTTTTATGGTATGATGGCAGAGTTGAATAGTTACAACAGAGACTGGTTGGCCTGCAGATCCTCAAATATTTACTGTATGATCCTTTACAGAAAAAGTTTGAGACTCTGCTCTAGATCCATGAACAATTAACTCTATTCTTTCTAAGAGACAAAAGAAGCTTTAAAAATCTGGATACTCTAAATAAAGTGTTACCTATATTAGGACCTGTGTTATACTAGTGTTATTGTCACTTGGAATTCGGTCTCTGTCCATTCTTCTCCACTCCAGTATCACCAGTATAACTCGGTCTAATTTTATTAGTGAAGACCTAAAATTAAGTATCTATTCTGAAATAGCTTATTTTTGGTGTTAATTTGGAGATGTGTGTAGAGTAAAAACAACATGTTATCTGATCTAGTTTGTATGATCTTGGTTGAATTAATTAAATTAAAAACATTGCTGGTATAAAAAAAAAATGGACCCAGATCTATATAAAGAGATTTTTCTGATAAAAAAAAGAGAGAGAGATTTTTCTGTGTTCCTCCTATTTTTCTTCTATCTCATCCTCGCCCCCAACACTCTTTAGGGATCTTTTTTTTTTTTTAAGGGATCATTATTTTTAATAGCTTGGTGTATATCCTACCAGGCCTTTTTCTTTTTTAGTACACATAGAAGCATAAACATACACATTGGGAGTGGGTATTTGTTTTAAACAATAGAATATGTTTTCTTAACAGTATATATCATGACCGTACATACAGATTTATCTTTTTTGCTTTAATGGCTGTCTCATTGCAAAATATAGATATACCATGATTTTACCACTTTTTTGTTAATGGATAGTTATTTTGCTATTATAGTAATACTATAACAGACCTTCTTAGACACAATTCTTGGCACTTGTGCATTTTTACAAAGAGGTATCAGAAATGGTTATATTGAGCTAGAGGGTGTGCATATTTATAATATTGGAGAGCTACTGCCAAATTGTGCTCTAAACTCAATTTATATATCAAAAGTGCATGAAAATAACCTTCTTCCTACATTCTTGTTAACACTATATGTTACAGTTTTTCTACATTTTTGTCTGACAGGGAAAAACCATATATTTTTTTTAAGAGTTTATTTACTTATTTGAGAGAGAGAGCATGCACCAGTGTTTGCATGGGGAGAGGGGCAGAGGGAGAGAATCCCAAGTAGACTCCACGAGGAACCTGACATGGGGCTCAATCTCACAACCCTGAGATAATAATCTGAGCTAAAATCAAGAGTCAGATACTCAACCGATTGAGCCACCCAGGTGCCCCGAGAAAAATAGTATTTTTTTTTTTTTTTAGTTAAATGTCTTATTAGTGAGGTTTAACATTTTTCATTTGGTTGCTGCTATTTCTTACTCTTTTATGAATTGCTTATTCATGTTCTTTGCCTAATTTCTTATAATGAGTTGCCCTTTCCTTTGTGATTTGTAGGAACACTTTGTATACCACAGATATTAACCCATTGTCCATTGTACATGCAGCAAACATTTTCTCCTGGGATGACATTTTGTTGTCATAAACTTAATGATTTAATGAGTTCATATCTGTTCTTGTTTCTCTTCATGGCTTCCTGCTTTTATGTGTTGTTTAGGAAGGCACTGCCAAGACATTTAACATTTCTGAGCCTGTTTTTCCTCATTTCTTAAAGTAGGGGATAAATGACAAATCTTAGGCTTGTCAGGAGAGTTAAATGAGTATAAAACGTCTAGCCGATTGGAAAATAGCAGGCACTTACTCCATAAATATTGCTTATTCAGATACTTGACAAACATTATTTAAGTTCCCACCACATGCCAGTAATTATGTTAGGAGCAAAGGATATAGAGACCAAACTCTGCCTTCCTTCAGGGAATGAGAATAGCTTTGTTTCTTTCCCCACTGATTACATTGTAATACCATTGAAAGCATCCTGTTTTAATTTGTGGGATTAAAGATTAAAGATTTTTTTCTCCCATCAAATCATTATGATAAATTAACTAGTATTCTCTTCTTACTTGATGGTTTGGTTTATTTTCAATAGGATTTTGTTTGTTTTTCACAAAAATGGTCATTTGAGCTGTAAGGCGAAAGTGCAGCCTCCCAGGCTGAATGGTGCGAAGACTGGAGTTTTCTCCACAAGGAGCCCGCATCGTCCCAATGCGATAGGATTGACCCTGGCCAAGCTGGAAAAGCTAGAAGGTAACACTTTCCGTTTCTACGTTTGTCTTTTCTTCCTTACCTGAAAGAAGTCTTAGGAAACCAACCTAGTATTCACTGGCTGTTGTTATTCTGACGAGTACCAACGGTGTCAACCCCTGACAACCACCAGACAGGGAAGAACACGAAATGACTAAAAGAATGTTACCATTTGAAATCAGCTCTCATAGGATGCTCAATTTCATTATCAACACATGTAGTAGAACCTATTACATTATTTAAAAATAATGTATGACTTCATAATTATTAGTACTTTCTCTGACTTGGAATACAATAAACACAAAATTATTAAAAAATAATTGGACACTTTCAGAATTAACACATAGTAACTGGCTGTATGTGTAGATATGGTAAACATGTGGGGTGGTATTATTTCTTCCTTGCATCTTTGAGGAAATGAACATGCATTGTGGTTCTAGTTCAGCTGTTAACTCTGATGTGTGGTAGAGGGTCTGCGATGAATCTCACTATAATAACATTTAAACACCTATCAGATTGTGGAAGTGCCTGTATAGAATACCAGATTAGTTTTAACTATGTTCATATATAATCTAGTGACCAAGCCATACATTTTTTTGAAGCATCCCATTTTTTTTAAGTATAATTGACATACTAGTTTGAAGTGTACAATAGGATTCAACATTTATATACATTGCAAAATGATCACCACAATAAGTCTAGGTAATCATTTATTACCATATAGTTACAAAAATTTTTTTTATGATACGAACTTTCAAGATCTACTCTCAACAACTTTCAAATATATAATACAGTATTACTGAGTGTAGTCCTTGTGCTGTACATGACATACCATGACTTACTTATTTTGTAATTGAAAGTTTTTACCTCTTGATCCTCTTCACCCATTTCACCTGTCTCCCTACCCTGTTCCCTCTGGCAACCACTGATCTGTTTTCTGTAGAATAGAGTTTTGGTTTGTTGGTTTGTTAGTAAAGCATCCTGTTCTTAAATCACTCTGACCTAATAAGCACATTTGTTAGAGAGGTAGAAGATGAAGTAGCAGGTAGACTGAGAGTTGGGAGACCATTCCAGGCTTTAGCTTGCTTGTTTGTAAAGTAGGCAAAGGAGTAAGACCTGCCTTCTCTGGGACTCCAGAATATTTTTTTAAGGATCTTATGAGGCAGAAGCTCTAAGAGTACTTTTTAGGCTCTTCTGTGCTAAATAGGTAAGACCAGGTATTTTGCTTGTTTTTTGCCAGAACTTGAAATCCCTCCCCTGGGTTTTATTCACCTGGGCCTTGGGTAGTTTTTCCAGGAAAATTCTGTAGCCAGTCCAATGTGAGCTTTATCAAATTGTGATGGCTGACCAGCTTGGGTAACAGTACTGGAACATTTTATGATCATTCGTGCAACCCACACATATTTTCTGAGCACTATGTATGTGCCAGGGATTGTTCTAGGTGCTTAGGGTATAGTGGCAAACAAATTAAAGAAAAATCTCTGCATTACAGAAGAACTTAAAATTCTAATTGGGTATATAAAATTTGAAATGTAAAAGGCAAACACAATAACACTGGAGACATTCTTAACAAATGAGTGTTATGGTGACTATTAGTGTTTGTGTGGTGCTTTACAGTTAAAAAGAGCATTTGTGTACATTATCTCACAGTGGCTCTTTGGGTTTGATGGAGTAGCAATCCCCCTTTTATGGATGAGGGAGCTGAGGCTCTTTGATGTTTGATAATTTACCTCATTGTATCCAGCCAGTTGGTTGTGTAACTTGATATCCCATGAATTTTTACATATACTACAATATTTTCTTCTTCTGCAGACATTGTTAGGCATATCCATTAGGAAGTCCAAAGTCATTATGCCAGAGTTCCAGGTCATTCACAGTGAGCATGTTTTAGAAAACAGAGTCCTTTGTTAGTCATGGTTTTCTTAAATGAAGACAGAATGCAATGTGATCACATGCAATTTTTGGATTCTCATTTGGCCAGTTTCCCAAGAATCAAGTGAGTTGACTCTGCACCAGTAGCAGGAACTGAACATGCAGCTGTATAAGTGAGACAAAAGACTTGTCCTTAATATTGGGCAACAGTGACTTATATTCTCCTTAATTGTTTGTGTCTTGATGGATGGATTAGATTCCCATTGCTGTGTAACAAATTACCACACACTTAATCAGTTTAAATAATACACACTTTTTACCTCTTTGAAATATTATTATGTTTCATAATAATTAGTGTAGAAGTATAGGAACAGCTTAGTCCTCTGCTTAGGATCTTATCAAGCTGCAAATAAGGTGTCATCTGGAGTTTCAACTGTGGAAGAATTTGCTTCCAGGCTCACTTAGGTTGTTGGCAGGATTCACTTTCTTGTGACTGTGGGACTGAGAGCCACAATTGCTTGCTGGTTGTTGGCTGGTGGCTGCCCTCAACTCCTAGACACTCCTGCACTGCCTTGCCACATGGGCTTTCCTAGTGTGACTGCTTACTTCATCAAGCCCACAAGAAGAATATCTTGAGTGCATCTGTCTGCAGGCACAGGAGCCCTAGATAATGTAACATAGTCACCGGAGTGATATCAAGTCACACTTGAGAGATGGGGATTATACAAGGGTGTGAACACCAGGAGGTGGGCATCCTGGGGACCACTGTAGTGTCTGTTTGCCTGGAAACAGTGGAAATCCTCATTGTTCCCACAGAGATACATTGAGGACTCTGATGTGCCTGGGCCAGAGTTAGAAGCCCCAGTGATGCAAAGATGAGTCAGTGCTAAAGGGCCTACTCCATTGTCTAGGGAGAGAGACTCTACTAGGTCCTTGCTAGACCATGTGAAAAGGGATATAGCAGAGGTTGTTTTTTTGTTTTGTTTTGTTTTTTTTTTGTTTTTTTTATGATAGTCACACAGTGAGAGAGAGAGAGAGGCAGAGACACAGGCAGAGGGAGAAGCAGGCTCCATGCACCGGGAGCCTGACGTGGGATTCGATCCCGGGTCTCCAGGATCGCGCCCTGGGCCAAAGGCAGGCGCTAAACCGCTGCACCACCCAGGGATCCCCTATAGCAGAGGTTTGTACGTAGGTTTCTCTGTGGAACCCAGAAGAAAGAGTACTTATGTGTGGAAGAGCCAGAAAGGCTCTGTAGAAGAGCCTTAAATAACATGTAGGAGTTTGACAGGTAAAGAAGAGGATGGGTTTCTGGATAGAATGAAAAGGGTGTGTTGGCACCAGGTATAAGAGAGCCCGGTGTGTAAGAGAATTATGAGTAAGTTTGGGGAGGCATAAACAGTTGGTGTTGGTTTTTAATTATTTGCACTGTTCTTGATTGTTACTGTTTCTAAGAGGATATGTTTTTCATATTATAGGTGGAGCTATATACCTTTCTGGAATTGACATGATTCATGGCACACCTGTCCTAGACATAAAGCCCTACATAGCTGAATATGACTCACCTCAAAATTTGGTTGAAACTCTACAGGACTTTAATTTACAGAAAAACCAATATAAACCCCAAAATACATCTCAGTCTAATGGCAAGATTGACAGCTATGACCAGCGACAGATCTCAAGGAGTGATAAACCACAAGCCTATAGTCACACTAAGGAGAAACCTAAATGTCCTGAAGATAGAACTTCAGAAGACAATATGAAACGTGACAACTCAACAAAAGTCCAGCAAAACTCCCCTCAGCACAGGGAGATAGCAGCAGATTTGGGCTTAGAATCAAGAAATGATGAAAGTCTGAATGTGGTAGAAGAACAAATTGGCCCATATTGCCTGGAGAAGAGCTTTTCAGACAAGATCAGGCACGTTCAGGGTGTTATGGCCGTAGATGAGAAGAGCTTTTCAGAGGAAGGTACAGAAAAGAGGCTAAGGAGTGGGAAAGAAGCAGTGATTCCAAAAGGAAATAGTGCAGAGTTGCAGCCCATGGCTCTTCACTGCCCTTCCAGGATGGCTGGTGCAGCCCCCCACAGCATGGTCCCTGCCTGGGTGAGAGAGGCCCCTGTGGCCACCTTGGAAGTCCGGTTTACTCCTCACGCAGAGATGGATCTTGAGCACCTCAGTTCAGAAGGTGAACCAGGTTCTTTCTGTTTCTTATGTCTGAATGAGAGCTTTAGCCAAATTTGGTATTTCTGAGGGCAGTTATATAGAGTATTTGTCAGTATGACTAGTTGTAAGAAATGTAGGAGTATAAAATTGTATTTGAGCAAAGGCACCATCTGATGACATACTTTGTTCACCACAGTGAGTCCCAGACATTCAGTAAAGTTTTTGCTGAGAATGGCTGCTGCCTCATGAAGTGGCTCATGATTTAGGGGCTCTTGTCAATCTGTTACAGTAGTTCCTGGAGTTTTCTTTTCTTCTCTCTCTTTTTTTTTTGTTAAGATTTGTTTATTCATGAGAGACACAAACAGAGAGAGAGGCAGAGACATAGGCAGAGGGAGAAGCAGGCTCCTTGCAGGGAGCCTGATGCGGGACTTGATCCCAGATTCCGGATCACGACCCGAGCCGAAGGCAGGCCCCCAACCACTGAGCCACCCAGGCATCCCAGTTCCTGGAGTTTTCAAACAGCATTCAGAAGCTAAATTCTTGTTCTGTAAGTTTTTTCATGTGTTTAACTGTCTGACTAGAGAAATACCCCATCTTATTCTATCAGGTGGCTGATAGTTCTACCTCTGACACAGAGCCAGGAGTAAAAGGGAAAGAGTCTCTTAGCACAGTAATTGTCCTCATAAAAGTCCCAGCACTAGAGACTTCACTGTAGAAGAGAAGCCACAGGGCTTTGACTTGGAGCTTGTTTACTTTAACATGTGGTTTCCCCAGCCTGTAGCAGATCCCAAGCAGCAATATAGAATGAAGAAAGGGGCTGTTATAAGGTGGCTGCAGTGATTCCAGTAAGAAGTGGCCTGTTAGTTGCCAAGGATATGCCTGATTTCATCTGCCACCCAGGGTGTGTTTCTTATTCTTTCCAAAGGCTTTATGTTTAAACAAAGCGTTTGATTTCTAGATTGACCTCTTTATTTAAAAAGTTTTGTTTATGAAAGTTGTTTCATCGTTGTATACAGTTGATGGGAGGAGGAAGGTCAGTTTTAAAAGAATTTTGTGATAGAACAAAGGAAGCAGTGCTGCCTGGAAGATACTTTATATTTATACTTACCCTTTGGCCTGCAGTTATCAGTGAATGCTTCCCTACTTTGGAAAGTTTTATTATTTTCAAACTATAATGCTGTATATCTGAGAGTTTACAATAAAACTTACTGATTTGAAAAAATCATTAAAAAGAGAAGTTATGAAATGTAACTATAAAACAGGAACAGCAGAATTTGGAGTCAATACAGAAACAAGAAATGACCTCAGAAAGTTTAGTCTAGAAAAGATAAAAGATACTGAAATGGTTGCAGTGTGTTGGTGGTGGGGGTGGGGGGATTGGTGCTGGAATGGAGTGCTTGTGGATAAACGAGAGGGTGAAGGATTGTGACTTGAGGAGCAGGGAGGAAATCTGGGAAGGCTTCCTGGAAGAAAGCCTGGAAGGCTTTCATGTGAGCTAAGCCTGGAAGGCTACATAGGCAGAGAAGTGAGGGAAGGGCACCTGTGCCAAATGAATAACCAAGCAAAAGGCTGGAGCTTTTCTTACACTGTTACTGAAGAGTGTGATGATTTTGGAATTCCTCTTTTTTAAGTGTGTTTGGAGTCATTTCATGAGGCATGCAATAAAGGGATCTTAGCACTGCACAATTGGGGTTGTTTTGTTTTGTTTAAGGATTCCATGTGATTTGCAGTTGAATTGGTTTTTGGTTTTTGACCAAAATGGCTTTATTTACGAACTGACTGGATATAGCCCAGAGTGATTTTTGGCTGTTTTCTAAAAATTGAATTTACTTTCAGAAGAATAAGATCCACCATGACTCCAGATGATATTTTGATAAGAACAACATTGTTTAAAGCACATGCCTTCCTGGAAGGAGTTAGCCTTCATTTGGATGTATGTTATGTTGTAGCTGTTAAAAATTAAGTCACAGTTCATTTTTTAAGTTTTGTACATAACTGTATTTTTTAGAATTAAAATACATCCATGATAATATAGATGTAGGAAGTTTTGCCACTTAACAGGATATACATCTGTTTACCTAAAATACGCACCTTTGGTGGTATGAGGCGGCCTCTTCCCTAGTGATGGCATTCAGTATTTGTTTGTTTGTTTGTTTATTATTTATTTATTTATGACATAGAGAGAGAGAGGCAGAGACACAGGAGGAGGGAGAAGCAGGCTCCATGCCAGGAGCCTGACTTGGGACTCGATTCCAGGACTTCAGGATCGCGCCCTGGGCCAAAGGCAGGCACGAGACCGCTGAGCCACCCAGGGATCCCCGGCATTCAGCTTTCTCAGAGTATCTATTTTACTTTTTCCAGAAGGACACTCCCATGTCCTTGTTCCTTAGGGAATGTGGTGTTACTTTTAACTGGGGCTGTGACGCTAGCTCTCTGAGACACTGTCCCTTGCCTATAGCTGGTGCTTTGGTTGTATGTGGGTTTAGTTTTCTTTCCTGTGGCTTTCTTAGAGTGCTGGGACTGTCATGCATTTCCCTGACCATGCCTCCATTCTGAGAAGAAAATGACAAGGAATCAAGTTAAAGGCGTCATTGAACATAGATTTTGTTGAACAAATGAAAATTTGTGGCATGTATAAGTTTACTCTAATAGTAATAAATACATTTGAAAGTGACCTTCTCTGCAACGACTGAATAGATTGCTAAACCCAGTTCATTTCATGTGATAGTCAAGGAACCAAGCAATCTCCGCATTGAAGTTCACTGTAATGAAATTTGATCTGCATCATTTTCATCACTAAGTTATATTTTTCTCATTGCAGATGGCAGTCAGTCTTCATTTAAATATTTTCAATCAGCAGAGGAAGCAAGGCATGCCATTGAGGCTGTGTTGTCAGCCGACCCTCGGTCCATATATCGACGGAAGCTCTGCCAGGACCGCCTTTTCTACTTTACTGTAGACATAGCACACATCACTTGCTGGTTTGGTGATGACTTTGCAGAGGTTCTAAGGATCAAGCCAGCTTCAGAACCTGTTCAGATGACTGATCCTGAGGAGTCCTTGGTGTCTCTGGGATCCTAAGTAGCCTCCATCATGTGTTTAAAACTTTGAATTGGCTTTTGGATTATCTGTACAAGTTAATGATGTGACGTGTTAATGAGTCTTTGCAGAAAGAACAGTTTGTGATCTCACTGCTTTGATTGATTTGGGTTCAAATATTTATTCTAAAAACATTTTTAATAAACTGAGAGATACAAAATTTAGAGAAATATATGTATGCTTTTCATTTGGTTAATATCAAAGAATCCAAAGGTAATGAAATCTCAGTGATTTCTGAAAGAAGCTGATTGTTTTTGGCACTTGGTAAAACTGGGTAGAGATCATTCTAGCAGGAACTTATAAGCCAGGGGATCTGTTCAGCAGTCATACTGGTTTTCCAGTATTGGTTTTCCTGTCTGCAAAAGTTTGACCTCTCTATTTCATCATAAAAACTGAGTTACCAACGTCTTAGGAAACTAACAGACCAGGGGCAGCCCCAGTGGCGCAGCGGTTTAGCGCCACCTGCAGCCCAGGGCATGATCCTGGAGACCCTGGATGGAGTCCCAGGTCAGGCTCTTTGTATGATGCCTGCTTCTCCCTCTGCCTGTGTCTCTGCCTCTCTCTCTGTGTGTCTATCATGAATAAATAAATAAAATCTTTAAAAAAAAAAAAAAAGGAAACAGACCAAAAACAAGTGGTATTAAAGCTCTTTAGAGATTAAACCCCTGTGTTTTAGAGACTTTGTCATACACACATTTGTATGTATATAGTATACATATATTTAATCCCGATTCTAAAATAGGGACTCTGATCTTTCTTCGGATGTCTTTGTATCAGAAAAGAAAGTCACCCCAGAGATCCAAGAAAATAACTTAATTACTGGTTTATTTCTTATTTATTCTATGAGTATTTACTGAAAGCCTATTATGGGTTAGGTTTTGGTGATAAAATGAGATAAAAACAAGATGCAGTTCTTACGATAAGTTATAATTAGAAGAGGAGGAAGACGTGTTACAGTTAGATAAAATATAGTAATTAAGTCTGTACATGGTTCCTACGTAGTACCATGCAGGAAGTGGTTGTAAGAATGTGTTGCCTATAGGTGATTTTAATGATGTGATCCCAGATAACTGAAGATTTATGATCAGCATAACCAGATTAGACACCTGTCAACATGACAGGCTTTCCTAATCACAATTGTAAATCTTAATAGCTGATTGATCATGGTTTTGAAATGAGCACTGCTGCCTGTAGATACTTGCACAGAGTCATTTGTGGCTGATGACACTGCACTCTTCAACCAAACTGGATTGTCTTTGAGGTTACTTAGAACCTCTTGGGGAAGTATCTTCAATTTGATTTTTAAAAGCTCTTTGAGATAATTATAGATTCACAGAAAGTTGCAAAAATAGCGTATAGGCCATGTGTACACTTCACCTAGCTTTTTCCTATGGTAACTCTCTTATATAATAAACTGTAGTATAATGTTAAAACTAGGAAGTTGACATTGGTATAATCTGCCCTTTATTTTGATTTTGATGCCTTTTCTCTTAAAATTATTTTGAGACTAAATTAGGGCTTGAAGCAGAAAGTGTTGATATTTAATACTGAAAAAATAGTCTGAAGATGATACCAGCCTTCCAGCAACAGGACTATTTAGTTGTTTGACGTTTTAACCTACATTCTTAGGATTTTAGAACTAAAATCCTAAATACAATCCCGTTTAGTTCTCTGCCCACTCACCAGCCAGTGATGATCCTTCACCACTGCCCTTTTGTAGTTCATTGTGTGATAGGGTTCATTATCAAAATGTTCTTCCTTCCTATGAGATAAAATATGTTCTCTGATAACGCCACCCTCTAATGGGGCATAAGGCTGATCGAGCTCCCATGCTAGCCTGTCAGATACCATTCCAGCTCCCTACTCCTTGGTCCTGTCTGCTGAGCTACCCCCATTTCCCTCAGCACTTTCCCATTTGTTAAGTCTCTCCCCGCCCCCAGTCTTTGAATCCCTTGTGTGAGCTTTTATCTCTAGGCATGTATTTTCAGTGTCCTGTTGTGAGGAAATTTGGATTGCTAAGTCATGAACTCCCATACCTCAGAAAGAGAAGTAGTTTGAAGTAGTCTTAACATTTCCTTTTGTGGTGGGAACTTTTCCAGAAGAAGAAGAAAGGGACACAATACTCTGTACTATGCATAAATGGTATCTACCTTAAATTTTAGCCTTTGCTTTTTGGTGCCTGTAGGGGGAGCCCTTGATAACTGATTATTTTCAATAGCTTGGGAATAGATTCCAGGAGTTCAAGAAGCTTTCAGGTAATTTTGGCTCTCGGCCCACTTACCCCAGATTTCCAGAACAGTAACTTCCACAAGATGCTTCCACTGATGCTTGTCAATCACATATAGGAAGAGATTAGAGGATGAATGCCATTTATTAACTTTTTAAATTGTAGCTTGGCTTAAGGGCTAGGATGGATTATTTCAGCATGTGGAGGCTAGGCACAACCAGATAGACTCATTAGCCAAACCCATAAGCATGTATATACAAGATATTCATTCTGTTTATGTATTTGCGACTTTTTTCTTTGAAGAGAAGAGAGTGGAGTTGAAGATATGAATCAACCTCTTGTTGATAGTCTTCTTTTTATGATAATGGTCATAAAGAAGGTAGGTGAAGACCCAGTAAGAATGAAATCTGTATCACTTACTGAACTGTCATGTCCTTGGCACCGGGCTACATGCTTTTCATACATTGGCAGAGGTTAAGTAACACACTCAAGCTCATACGGCTGGTCAGCCATTCATTGAGGATTTCGACCCACCCAGTCTGGCCCCAGAGTTGGCTTCCTTCCCAGTGTGGCTCTGCTGCCTCCCCCATGCAGATGCAGATGCTCAGCAAGCCATGCTGGTTTATTTGAGGGTCAACAGTTTCATGTGTTTAATAAGTGCAAGACACTTAGAATGATGTTCATGGGAATCCAACTACTAAATGAAGAATGGCGGAAGAATAAGAGTAGAAATGACTATTCCTACCAGATCTCTGTGGAACCTCCTGAGAAGCAGCATGGGAGATGTGGAGAATACCGAATTTGACCTCAGAAACTTTTAAGTGCTGTGTTCTGCTCTGCCGTGTGCTAGCTGTGCAACCTTGGGCAAGTCACTGCACCCATCTCCAAATCCCTGTCCTTACAGAGTTGTTACATGGATAATACTTGGGAAAGTATTTTCTAAACTCTTCACTGGTCTCCAAACTTAGATAATGTTTTTATTATGCCTGTCATCATTGACACCCTTTCTTTGCCACTCTGCTCTGGTTCACCTACCTGGACAAGCAGATGCAGGGAAACCAAAGGATCCTTAAAATACAGTGTATGGGGCAGCCCCGGTGGCCCAGCGGTTTGGCACCCCCTTCGGCCCAGGGTGTGATCCTGGAGACCCGGGATCGAGTCCCACGTTGGGCTCTCTGCATAAAGCCTGCTTCTCCCTCTGCCTCTCTCTCTCTCTCTCTCTCTCTCTCTCTCTCCTGTCTCTCACGAATAAATAAACAAAATCTTTAAAAAAATACAATGTATGGATAGCCTCTTTCTTTTTTTATTACAAAAATTTTTTAAAAGGACTCCTTTTAGCAAATTACAGGATGTTTTGCTAAGGGAGATATCACAAAGTGGCCCTGCCTTAAGGACCCAGTTGACATTAAGCCATATGCCCAGGGCAATGTCTTCCTTCCACCTGGCCTTCCCTTCTAGGATTGCACATATATCACAAACTGCCTTCCTTGCCTGTGCGTGTAATCAGCAGGTCAGCCCCTTTTTCTCTCTCTCTCTTTTTTAATTTAAAGATTTTATTTATTTATTAATGAGAGACAGAGGCAGAGACACAGGCAGAGGGAGAAGTGGGCTCCATGCAGGGAGCCCGACGTGGAACTAGATCCCGGGATCCCAGGATCACGACCTGAGCTGAAGGCGGTGCCGAACTGCTGAGCCACCCAGGCTGCCCCAGCCCCTTTCTCATACATGATCCTCCTTAGTGTCCTCTCTTTTTGACCTTCTTTCTTGATTCTAGCCCAGATGCTTCAGGAAAATCCCTGCATTTCTTTTGTAAGAAGATAAAATTATAGTCCTGCTGTGAAGTTATTCAGGTAAGTTATAACTAACTCTATGACAGAGAAGAGGCAAATATAAGGATTAAAGCTCAATGAAATGTAACGAGTTTGTCTTTTTTTTTTTTTGTTATTGTAAAATAAGGCTCCTAATAATATAGGTAGTCACCCAGTGGCTCTCCAGCATCCTTTTTATTATACTGTCTGCCCCTTCTCTGCATTGTAGGTTAGAGCAGGTGCAGCTCACAGAGGATTCAGGATTTAGGTCAGTGCGTGTGACTGAACAGACACAAGAGAAGCCTTTTCAACGTCTAGAGGAGGTAAAAATTCAGTGATCCACTCAATCCACTCTATTTTTTGATGGAAGGGGCCATTTGTCCAATGAGCTCACACCACACTAACCAATTAAATTTGAGCCAATGTGTTTTATGTTGTGCTGACAAAAAAGGTAGGATTGAATGTAACACAATGTTACCTATCTCTGCTGCCTTGTAGATCACTTAAGAATTCTATTCAGATTCTTCATTAATTCATGCAATTCAAGACCTATAAAGCTTTTTTATTCAGTGTTAACAGTCTTTATTTTTAAAATTACCTGCATGCTAAGTACTGAAGATCTGTCTAATAATTTTTCACATTGGTAGAGACTTTATGGTTTACAAAGCAATTTAAAATATGTTATCTCTTTTGGTATCTTAGCAACCCATTATGGGTTATTTTTGCTTCTGAGAGCTGAGTGTGGCACTTAACTGCTACTTAGAAAAAGGGTGGGCAAGCTATAATCTGAAGGCAGAGTTTGGCTCACCCTCTGTTTTTGTATAGCCTAAGAGCTAAGATTGGTCTTTAGATTTTAAAAAGATTGTAAACAAATTAAAAAACCAAGAAAAGAACATATGACAGACTGTGTGGCCTGCAGAGCTGAAAATACTTATCTGGCCCTTTGTAGAAAAAGTTTGTTGACCCTCATTTAGAACATTATTCCTCTGAAAAGATGTTTTGAATTTCAGAAAAGTTATTTACAAATTAAGTTTTTGGATTATCAGGATCCCTGGGTGGCACAGTGGTTTGGCGCCTGCCTTTGGCCCGGGGCGCGACCCTGGAGACCCGGGATCGAGTCCCACGTCGGGCTCCCGGTGCATGGAGCCTGCTTCTCCCTCTGCCTGTGTCTCTGCCTCTCTCTCTCTCTCTCTCTCTGTGTGTGTGTGACTATCGTAGATAAATTTTTTAAAATTTAAAAAAAAAGTTTTTGGGTTATCACATGCTTCTAAATCAGGGATTATCTGTGTTTTTTAAAGGATAAAACCATGTGAAAAAGCTTATGAATATGACATAAATATTAAATATGTATTAACCTATTTGTGTAAAATGAGGTTGTACAAATCGATATTTGCACACATGTAGAAAATTTCTGGAAGGATAGATAAAAATATGTTAACAATAATTGCCTCTGGGAGTTGGTCTCTGGAGGCTCATTGAAGAAGGGAACTTCATTCTCTTCAGTATGTTGTGGATTTTTTTTAAATCATGAGCACACATTTTTTTATGTGGAGCATAAGGAGAGTAAAATGTTTTAAGTTAGATTTATATATCTGAATATAATGTCCTTCCCCCACCCCCAAGTCAGGTAAATACAGTTAGAAACATTTTTACTTTTTTCTGGAACCCTTACATGTGGATCATAAAACCAGAAACTATCCAGATCACACATCAGCTGTGGAGCTGAGCCAGTTTGAGGCAGGTAAATTGGCTGAGCCTGGACGGCTTGTCCCCAAGGGTGCACTGACATCTTCTGTTCTTCCATAGACTGGGTTTTGGGTAAGGCATAGTGCCTCCAGGCAAAAAACAGGCATCTATGTGGATGGTGTCACTGGCAGAGGGCTGAGCCGTGAGGAGCACCTTAGCCCAGTACTCACCAAGCCTGTGCAGTTCATCCATCCTGGACTAAGGGATAGGTCTCTGCTTGTAGGATCCATTCACTCATCAGCTCCACCCACTGGTTCTCTGTCTACTTGCATTATTTAGTCACAAACTATGTGACTGGTGGGAATTGCTGTTCCTGAGTCCCCAGAGCTGGCCCTTATCCACTGTCAGAATGGAAGCTTGGAAAAGCTTGGAGCTGGGGATCAGCTGTGTCATTTGGGTAAGGGGACTGTGCTGAGGTGGAGGTGGGCCGACTTGGAGGAAGACTGGGCTGGCGTGTTGGCAGGTGGCAGAGCAGAGCCTATGTAATGGGTGGAGCAGGGCTGTCAACGGATTTGGAGGCTCAGGCTCTGCTTGGGTTGGGGAGGAGTTGAGGTCTGAGAGGACTGGTAGAGCCAAGGCAGGACTGAGTCCCAGGGGGGTTAGGCAGGTTTTCCAGGGACCCCCTCATATCAGAACTGGAGATTTTTCTTCCTTATTTCTTTGCCTAATATCCTATGTTTGCCAAAATAAGAGGTCACAAGATGCCTTTAGTATATAGTCAGACAACATGAATTACAAGGTGTTTGCAAATGACTATAAGGGGAAAAAATAATTGACATAAAATTGGAGAAGCCAAGCACAAAATGTCCACTGGGTCATAAGGTGGAAGAAGATTGGTCATCAGAGCTTGCCCTCTCCTCCTCTTGGGAATACTTCTGCTACCACATGAACAAGCCTGGGTTAGCCTCCTGGATAATTAGAGATAAATGGCTGAGTCTCAGCTGACATTGAACCAGTCACCGCACCTAACAAATGAAGCTATCCTGTATCATCTAGATCTATCTGAGTTGTCCTAGACCAGAAAAACTGCCTAGCCAATACATAGAAGCATGGGCGGGCGGGGGGTGGGGTGGGTTATTTCAAGCTCTAATTTTAGGGTGATTAGTTAGCAAAAAAGGTATTTAGCTACCACACTCTTGAGGGGAGCAGTAGAAATCTGGTTTATTTAACAAAGTCCTTAAATGTTGAAGGGGTCTTTAGGGTAGGACAGATTTTTGTGATAAAAGTAGTGAAAGAGGGCAGCCCCAGTGGCGCAGCGGCTTAGGGCTGCCTGCAGCCTGGGGCATGATCCTGGAGACCTGGGATCGAGTCCCACGTCGGGCTCCCTGCATGGAGCCTGCTTCTCCCTCTGCCTGTGTCTCTGCCTCTCTCTCTCTGTGTGTGTGTCTCTATGAATAAATAAATAAAATCTTTTTAAAAAAAAGTAGTGAAAGAGTATATAATAGCTAATGTTTATCAAGCTCTATGGATCAGGTATGGAGCTATACACGGTTAACTCATTATGAGGAAAGAAGATATTATTATTTTCATTGTACATAGGAGCCCACAGGCACAGGGACATTTAATTACTTTATAGCTAGGAAGAGGGAGGACTTAGAATATAAATTCAGAGTCTGTCAAACTGGAATCAACACTCTTAAATACTCACTTCAAGGTTTCTAGCTAAGAGATTCTACAAATGGTGTTCCATTAAAAACAACAACAACAACCAGAAAACCAAACTAAAACCAAGCTCGCCGCCTCATTCTCTCAAATCTCATTTCTGATTTCTGTATAAACATAGAGTAAACCTATGCATTTGTTTCTGCTGCCTGCTTAAATCCCAATAAATGACAGCAAAAAAGAGCAAATCAAACCCAAAGTAAGCAGAAGGAAAATAATGATCAAAGCAACAATTAATGAAATAGAAAAAAAAATAGAGAAAATCACTAAAACCAAAAGCTGATTCTTTCAGATCAATAAAATTGATAAACTTTTGGCCAGACTGATTAGAAAAAGAGAAGACAGCAATTAATATCAGAAAAGAGAGGTAACAGGACACCCGGGTGGCAAAGCGGTTAAGCGTCTGCCTTCAGCTCAGGGCTTGATCCCAGGATCCAGGATCGAGTCCCACATCAGGCTCCCTGCGGGGAGCCTGCTTCTTCCTCTGCCTGTGTCTCTACCTCTCTTTCTGTGTCTCTCATGAATAAATAAATAAATCTTTAAAAAAAAAGAGGTAATACTTGTATAGATTCTACAGATAAAGGGAATATTATGAACGACTTTATGCCAATCAATTTTAAAAGTTAGATAAAATGAATAAAAAATAGCAAAGAAAAAAATAGCAAAGATACCAGTTATCCAAATATACTTAGGTAGCCTGAATAGCTCTTGTATCAAATTGAAATTGGGTTTAAAAACCTTTTCACACAGAAAACTTCAGATGTAGATGGCTTCACTGGGGAATTCTATCAGGAATTTTTTCTTCAAGGAAGAAAAAAAAAATCTAAACACTTCCAAATAGGGAAAGGATTACTTTTCAACTCATTTTGTGAGCCCAAAATTACCTTGTTACCAAAACCAAACGTAAGTATTACATGAAAGAAAACTACAGACTAATATCTCTGAGCATAGTTGTAAAAGTTATAAACAGAATTTTAGGAAATGCAATCCAACAATATATTAG